AATGTGTTAATTACTGAAACTGTCCTACCAATATGGTTTGAAACTGTCTCATTGCCATTTGTTTCTCAATAAAATTATGGGGAAGAGAAAAAAAAGAAAATGAGGTCCGGTTTACTCTGTCACACATTTGAAAATCAAAATGTAGCAATTCTAATACAATGTACGCACAAATGATGCCTGAGATAAAATGACTGGAATTACACAGGCAAGCAGACAAGCTGTGTTCACTAAAGTCCCTTGATTCCATGCTCCTGGACCATCACCAGTCCTGAGACAGAAATACCAATGAAGGCACAGCACAGTGAATCTTGCTCTGCTGCTAGGCATTGTACTGCTCCTGCCCTTCGTTGCGAGGCGCACAGGCTGCTGACCAGCGCTGCTCCTACGCAGATGGGGAAACCCTGGCCTGCCGTTCTCGGCAAGCAGGTGGGGTGGTCTGTGCAGTCGGGCCGCAGACCTGCTGGGCCATGGGGCGGGAAGCAGAGCCCGCCTGCAGCCTGCCCATCGAGGGGCTGGCTTGGGAGGGACGGTCCCCTCCTTTCTCAAAGTGAAGGACACATCTGCACACCGCTTATACAGCCCAACAGGTCTCCTCCTAGACTTGGCGTCCTCACCTCGTCCTACCGAGCCACAGCGAAGGGACGGGAGGACGCTGCAGGGACTGCAGGAGGGCAGACGGCCCTGGCAGCACCTCACTTTAGGCCTCCAGCTCCCAACCGGGGAGAACACACTCCTGCTGTGTACGTATACCTTGTCCGAGAGGCCTCAAACATGAACACGCTGTAGTACAAACGTGGTGCTTAGGAAGCTTGCAGCCAAGTGACCCACTGTGCCTTCTCTTGCTGGGGCGGCATGAACGCAAGCCGCAATCACCTCCACACTGGACAGCGCCTCCCGGGTCTCCCTGAGCCTCTCTTTGGTGGCTTCCAGCTCGCTCTGCAGCCTCTCCTGGGAGTCCTGGAGACTGGCGATGAGGCCCTCGGCCGAGCCCAGGCCCTGCTCGCTCTTCCGCACCAGGTCCTGGAGGCGGCTGACCTGCAACGGAGCAGAACACCCACCCACTCAGCGGACACAGGCCGGCCAGGCAGGTGGTCAGCCCCGCACTTCACCCGGCTTGCTTAGTCGCCTCGTTTCACCAGATTCTTTTCTATTTTTTAAAATTTAAATTGTAAAAAACAAAACAAAAATATTAGAAATTGTACAAAATTCCATTAAACAAAGTAATAGCAATCCAACAATGGTTGCCGTATTGCATGTTATCTTCAAATTAGTTTTTAGGTTACCAGATATAAACCTGCAAAATTGGTTAAAAACAGTTATAAGAAGTTAAAAAGAAAAATTAAGTAAAAATGAAAAAAATTTAAGCATTAACTGTTCCTTTCACAAGAGCAGAAACCAGCAGTACAATTCCCCAAGCTCTTCTGCAGACACACATGAATATATCTTCTCCCTTCTTTCTTTTGTGCTTTTCCTCATCCCAGTCTTTCCTTCCTACTGAACAGCTTCTTTCCCTTTGACAGTATTTATTGTACTTTTCAGATTTTATTTACCCTCTCAGGTTCTCACATTTGTGAGACAATACAACTTTGCACATGTGGGTCTGACTTATTTCACTTACCAGTATGGTCTCTAGTTATACCATTTACCTATAAAAGCTTTGAATTTATATTTTTTATACCTGAATAATACTCCGTTGTGTAGAAATACCATATCTTTTTTTATCCATTCCTCAGTTGATGGACATTTGGGTTGTTTCCTAGTTTTAGCAAGGACAAATGGTGCTGCTATAAACATGGGTGCACATACATCGTTGTGGTATGATGACTTCAGTTCTTTCGGAAAGATGCCCAGGAGGGACAGCTGACTGGAGTGAAACCTGCAGTCCTAGCTGGATTCTTTCCTGAAGTGTTGGGAAGACACTCCCAAATAGTCACAACCTTCTTCATCTGTTGTTTTGTGAAAAGACCTCCATTTGTATGGTTTTCCCTTTTGGGCAGGGAACAATGTGGAGAAAAAGCCTACATCTCTCAAGTTCTTAGTTTAAAGAGAATTCCTGGTTCTATCATAAAAGATCTCTGAAAAAAGGAATTGAAGCAGGATAAAGATTGACAAAATTCAGATGACAATATTTTAAACCACTCTTTAAAACTGCATAATTTACATTTCACTCCAGTCCAGTTCTGCTATTTACAGAAGTAATACATATAAACTAACACATATGGACAAGCTGTTAAATGTACCCTGTAGCAGCAGCTGTGATTTCTGTTTCCAAATAAAATCTCTCTCATGAAGTCTTTAGAGAGTTTAATAGAGTCTGAAAATTAGGAGCAAAAGAACAATCTATTGATTAGCAGTGTGCTTACTTCCTAATTATAAGAACAGAAATCCACAAATAAAATACTTCAAATTATATATGAAAATACTACTACGTATTTCATTTTTTAAAAACACCATGCTTGTAAAAATTTTACAAAGATTGATAACTTGAAATAATACCCAGTATTTCTCCTTATAAATACAGACATTACAAAGAAAACCATGAAAAATCTCATACATGTACATACCAGTATGTGTGCTGAAAAATTATGGGATTGGTTATATATCCATCTAATGTCTCTAGTGGATACTAAATGATTTGAATAGCTTCCTGTTTTGTTTCTTTTTTCTGTGCTTTTGTTTTCACAGCAAAATGATTACCTGTCTCTATTTATTTTTTTTATTTATTTTTGTGCAGGGTCTCACTAGGCAGCACGGACTTATAGTGGTCCTGTCTTCATCCTCCCTAGTGCTGGGATTAGAGGCAAGCACGCCCATGCTCGCACTCCACGGCAGCTCAGTGGCCTGGAGACGGGGTCAGCAGGCAGGTGGTGCCAGGAATCGAACCCTGGCTCCTGAGCTTAGTCCGCTGGGCTATCTCACTGGCCCTGATTACCTGTTTCTTAATAGTATTATAAATGTCACTCATTAAATCCTCTAGGTCTAGTGCCTCTCTAAAATACATGTCAGATTACTTTCTTGTGGGGTTGTAATTGGTTTGGTTGGGCTGTTCAAATACTTTGAGTCACTATAAAACTGAAAAATTTTATAGAAAGACACCTGTTTTCCCAATTTAAAAATTACTGGCATATTCACACACAGCATTCACTTCTGATACTTTAAAATTGCACCCGTCCCTATTCTAATGGCCTTTGTCTATTTCCTCAGTCCTAGCTGCCCTACTATTTGCATTCATCTGTCCTGCCAACGTGTACCAAGCCGTGAATGAACGCCTGTGGGGACAGCAGCTGCAGGAGCACTGAATCTTACTTCAAGTCCAGGGTTTGCCACTGTAAGACAGGAGTTACCGGACTATACAGTACTGGATATGCAAGAAAAAATACTTTACCAGAAAAGATACCAAGTATCAATAAGAGAAGAAGAACCATACTTAACTAGAAAAAATATTCTTCTACAATCCAGAAATTTTTCAGAAGACTGTGAGTTGTACGTATACATGAAAAAAAGTGTAAAAAAAACCAGTATTCTAGCTCAGTAGAAAAAGCACTTGCCTGACAAGCACAAGGGCCTGAGTTCAATCCCCAGTTCTGCCAAAAACAAAACAAAACAAAACCAAAAAACAGTATTCTAATTACCACATAGAGAATTGGGGAGTATATTAAAAAAACTAAAAATCTAATTCACGACAGACTAATTTAAATGGGCAAAATCTTTCAATTTCTGCACAACACAATAAAAAAATAAAAAGCAAGTTAGTGACAAACATAATTTTTTGAAATGTAATAAAAACAGAATGTGTAGAAAACGTCTATTGTCTGCGAATATCAAAACTTCCTTTCGGCATTTGGGTGCTGAACCCCCTCCTTGGAGGCCCCCGTGTGGTCTCGGCAGAGGTGTGAACCAACGCCTCGGGCTGTGGGCCACCAGAATGACCTAGGAGCAGACGTGGATTAGACTGCTCTCTGCACAGCGCTCTCGGGACTCCAAAGGAGCTGCCACGAGCCCATAGGTGGCACCCGTAATCCCAGCCCTCCTGGGGCTCAGGCAGGAAGATCACACGTGGGCCCGGCCTGGGGACTGGGTGACTCGGCGAGGTCTATCTCAGCGGAGGCCGGCCGCCAAAGGCCTCAGGTCCCACCTGGAGGTCACCACGGAGGGCGATCTTTTTCCAATAGCACCTGCATCTCAAGGAATGTGTGAACACAAAGAAAAAAATCCGACTAAAGGAGAAAAAAGAAACTTAGCTCCAGCATGGCTAAGTCAGCTCCAAACCCAGCGCGCTGATTCTAGCGTCCGCCACATGTGCCAGCCAGGTTGAGATGGAGTCCTGTGCCTGTCCTAGAAATGGGCGCTCAGATCAGCGTTCCTTCAGGGCGCCAGCAGGCACGGGGGAAGCAGGAACACCTGGAAGTCCACCCGGAGGCCCACCCTGGCAGCACCTCACAGGGCGGGCGCCCCAGGCAGGCACCCACCTCCCCCAGCACAGGCATCCCCTCCCCCTCACCTGGCTAACATCCGCCTCTCCCCAAGGCTCCCTGCTGGGGTCACGCACTCGCAGAGGAGCAGAGCACTGTGGCCAAAACTCAGCCAGAAACTCCCCTCCCAGACTCAGATTCTGGCTTTGCAGCTGAGACTTGGAGAGCCAGATTTAAAGGATGAGCTGTGGCCGGGGCCTGGACCCCTGCCGCTGCCCGGGCTCCACAGGCCTGGCATTCGTCTAAGCCTTCCCAGCCACATCTGCACCTTGGGGAACCTGCTGGGGCGTCAGTACTCGCTCCTGGGCTCTCCTCATGCCCGCTGTGCCCAGCACAGGGCTGAATACCTCAGTCACTCAATACTTAGTGGAATTACAGAGGAATACAGAGGAATGAGCTCAGTACCGCAAAAGGCTCACAAACGTCACATGCCATGGCAAAAGAGAAATAAAATTGATCTTATTTATTTATTTATTTATTTTTGGCGGAACTGGGGATTGAACTCAGATCCTTGCGTTTGCCAGTCAAGCGCTTATCCTACTGAGCCATCTCCCCGGCCTCCAAAAATAGGTCTTTTTTTTGTTTGCAGAACCGGGGATTGAACTCAGGCCCTTGCGCTTGCCAGGGAAGCACTTATTCTGCTGAGCCATCTCCCCAGCCCCTTTAAAACTGACCTCTGCGTGGGCCCCAGTGCTGTCAATCTGTTGACCTGGTGCTGTAGCAGAGCAGCTCTGAGCTCGGGCAGGCCTCGCCCTGGGCACGGCAAACCTGACACTCAGAAGCAGGAGGCATCTACACAGGTGAGAAAGAGATTCTTTGCTTGCAGGCAGAGAAGGTTCGTGGAACACAGTTTGGTGGAAGTTTATGTTGCTCTCAATGTCTATACTCTTCAGAGTGCTGGAAGAGGTGGATTAAACACACACGAGTGCTCAGTCAAGGCTGGACTGGCACTCCCAGTTCTCAAGTGACAGTGAGGCTGGCACTGTCTTTTCATGTTCTTCTCCAGCCTATGCAAACAAACTGGAGTGTCTTTTCTTACTGTTCTGAAAACATTCTTACAGCATCAGAGACAGGAATTCTTTGTTGGTCATCAAATTTATCAAGCGCTAACTCCATCGCCCCAGCTGTTTTCCTCGGTTTAATTTTGCTTATGGCATGTTTTGATCTGTATAAGCTGTGACTATACAAATACTCTGTTTTTAATCAAGATTTTGGTGTCATTTTCAAAAGGCTATCTTTGCTCCAAGGCATGCAATTTGTATTTTCATATTTTATTGCATCCATACATGATTTCATACTGTACTTCAACCATTGGCACAGCTTTTTGACACTGAGGGTGGAGAGGGGATCCAAATTCCCTGTTCAACCCATTGGTTCACACACAGCCTCCAAGGAGCAGCGCCATACACCACTGCTCAGACGAAACCCACTAAACCCCGCTTCTGCCTTCTCTACTGAAACTGGAAGGGTCCTCAGGGCCTCCTGCTGTACAGCCACGCACCCTCTGCAGCTCACTCTCACTACTGCCGGCAGCCTGCATGTCTGAGGAGACCCCATAGCCAAACAACTCAAGGTCTTGCCCTTCTCGTGTATCCTCTACTTGTAATTCCTACTGCTCAATAGGTGCTTCGTTATCTGTCCAAATCCCTGGGCTATATACCACAGTCATTTCCTACCCTTCCCCACATAAAGTCCTGCACATTTTTTATCTTGAAATAGTCTTCTTCATTCGCAGTTTTACTTCCAAATCAGAATGCCAGTAATTTCTTGCCTGGACTAATGTGCTAGCATCTTATGCCATCCGTCTAACTAATAATTTTCCTAGTGTAAGACAGTCATTTTCTAAGAAGATCATGTGATGGTGTCAAGGAGACCAAGTCTCCAGCTCTGTGACAGCACAGGAGCCCCTCCCACCTGGCTTCCACATCCTTCCTGTTGCATATCCTGCCCAGTCCCAGAGTATGCAATGGCCAGGTGCCGCAGCTCTCATCAAGGTCAACTGTCTCCACAGAGCACGTGGCAGTTATCTAGAGATGAGGAGGGATGCACACTCCTGGCATGGAACAGGGAGAGCTAAGGATACAACTACACAGCCTAAGCAATCAGCCAGCCTGAAACTGGAGGTCATGCTGAGGAACAGAGATCCCAGGTAGTGAGCCAGAGCTCTGTGCCCTTCACCGAGACATGGACTTTGTTTACTAAAATGCCTGCACTTACGCTAGTCCTCAAACCCACAGTAACTTCTGCCATGTCTACAGCAGATAACCTGACACCCATCTTTCAAGGATGATCCCCCACATCACATTTCTGAATTCCTGTGTCACACGGTATCATTTCCTGACACACTGTTCCGTAGTCTTCAGAACTTTTATGAACCCTATGGTCAGAAAATCACCCCTTCTTCTGAACTCCTCAAAGACATTTAGCACTGAACCCTAACAGCCACCACGGACTATGAGTTTCTTGACATCTTGCTAACGGTGTTCCCCTACTTAGAAGGTGCCACATGAAAGTCAAGAGATGTTTCATAAGAAAATACGCAAACACCTCTGATGTCACCAGCATCCAGTTCCAATTTTTCTGGAGACAGATCCAGTAATAAGCAGTAAAGGTTTCAAAATCCATTCATACCCTCTGACCTAGCAATTTCATTTAGATGGAAGAACTAGAGGGAAAGAACATACTGTCTTTTTCTCTTCTTTTCTTTTTTGGTGGAACTGGGGACTGAACTCAGGCCCTTGCGCTTGCCAGGGAAGCGCTTATTCTACTGAGCCATCTCCCCGGCCCCTTTTTTCTTTCTTTCTTTCTTTCTTTCTTTCTTTCTTTCTTTCTTTCTTTCTTTCTTTCTTTCTTAATGGCAGAAGCAATGAAAATATTGTTTAAAAAAATTAACAAAAATATTTACACCCTGGTAATTTATCCATTCCCCAGGGAAAACTTCATCCGGTGAGCCGCACCAAACAGGAGCCTCTGCGGTTCTCCTGCCCCACTCAGGCTCCGAGGTCTGGGATTATGGGCTTGCGCCACCAGGCCTGGCCCACACAATTTCTAACAGTGGCGCTGAGATAAAAATGATTTTCAAACTCACACGAGTCTTCTGGGAGCAGAAGAGAGTGTGTGTCCTGCCTCACTGCGCGAGGCTGATGTGACCTTTACCTGCACAGCAGGTTGGGAAAGAGTGAAGACGGAAAAGGACTAGGCAAGCTCACTCCGCTGCAGGTTCCACAGACGCAGCGGACACGAGCGGGCTGCACCCAAAACACGAAGAAGATGGCACACACAGCCAGAACCTGCTCAGGGCTGACTCAGCATCAAGAAACTGACTAATATAAGGCAGCACATGAACAAATCAAAGGAAAAAAGTTTCCTAACAGATACGAAAAGCTTCACATCTCTTCATAACTTTTTGAAGTGTGGAAATAAAAAGATTCCCCTGAACGGAGCAGGCGTGCACAAGCAGAACGCCAGAGCAGCACGCTGACACACTGGCCGGCATTAGAAGGGAAGGCAGGGCAGAGAGCGTACGACCTCTGGAGGTCGACCTCTGGTTAGCAAAGACAACCAGAGGAGAGCTGTCCCTAGCCCAAGGCACGGCGGCAGGCAGCCTCCAGGGGAGCCCATCTCCACAGCGCCAGCACACTGGCAGGGTGCTGACATGTAACTGAAAAGGTGGCCTCCAGGCACGCTCTCCCCAGGACAATGCAGCAGGCCGGGCTGGCTGGAGGGACGCTTCAGCAGTGTCACTAGAGACTCCCTGAGGGACCCACACAGGAAGCACAGATGGCCACGCAGGACGGTGGTCTGTGCGTGGCAGGCACATCTGAAGCCCCGGGAACTTCCCGGGCAGCCCAGACAGGCTGGGCCGGGGCAGGGGCAGCTCAGTCCCTGCCCCTCCTGGGAAGTGTACAAAAGCACTGGCGTCTGCGCCGGTTTCCCTAGACAGGAGCAGTGGTGAGGACACAGGGCTCAGAGGCAGGAAAAGCCGACGAGACAGGAAGCGCCAAGCCAAGAACCCAGCCTGAGGAGGATGCCCAACAGCTGCGGGAAGGACGAGCAGGAGCAAAGACCAAAGGCGGGGAAGAGAGCAGAAGCAGGGGCTCACCTAGCACCCAGCCTTGACGGGCCGGCGGGAAGGCACCCCGGCAACACCGGCAACACCGGCAACACCGTCCGAAAATGACACAGCTGTTGTGTGTACTTCGCTCACAAAGTTTTGTGCTACAATATTCTTAAGATTTTCTTTTCCATGCTAAATATTTTCATTAGAATTTAAAATTTATTTTATATGGCACTATCTAGAACTATTTCTTCTTTAAAAAGGAGATGACCCAGGTGCGGGGCACATGCCTATAAACCCAGCCCTTGGGAGGGAAGGCTAGCCGGGGCTACATAATGGAATTCAAGGTCAGCTTGCACTCTGTAGTGAGAACCTGTTAAAAAAAAAAAAAAAGCGGGGGGAGAGGCAAAGTGTACAAAAGACAACACTAATATTTTACGAAAGAGCAAAGATACCATCTCTGCTTTCTTTCCAACAAGGTGATATTTTCTGTTTTGTTGTCCCCACAAAAACATCTTGGATTAATGATTTCAGTGTATATTTTACCTTCTGGGATAGAACCAAAGTGTTACGAGAAACATCACATCAATCAGAGTGTCTCCCATGACCGCGGCAGTGCCACGGGAGAAGCCCTGGACCAACCGCGGCTCGCAGGCGAGAGGCGGGAACAGCGCTTGCCTCCTGAGTGGCCGTGCTCAGCTTGGCTTCCAGCGCCTCCTTCTGGTCTTCCAGCTCCCGCTGAAGCTGATTCTTATCCTCTTCCAGGGCCAGCTTCTCCTTTTTATGCTGCTCTTCCAGTTCCTCAGAAAAAAGAATTTTAAAACATTAACAGGGTTGCAGACTTTATCCCACCCATTCCCTGGTGCTGTGGTGTGCACTCTGCCCTCACCCTGCATGGTGCCGGGGCCAAGAGTGACGACGCAGCACTCAGGCGGTGGAGCTATCGCACAACTGCCTTCAAGCAGCGTGAACACAGGCTGGTCCAGGCCATGCCACGGCTGAGGCGCCGTACAGCAAGCCTCCGCTCATGCGTGCTTCTGTCGCAAAGAATCTGGTTCTCAAGCACAAGAGTTCTGGACAACTTTGCTTCTGTTCACGAACTCCACATCACGTTACCAACTCGGCCACAGCCATCTTCACACACACACACAGATGCAGCAGTCTTCCCCAAACTCATGCAACCAATTAAGTTTATCAATCAAAGCACCATTGTACAGAAAAGTGGAATGTAGATAATTTGGCAAGATAAACAAAAGGTAAATATAAGGAAAACATTCTAATTTTATTGAACTAAAAATTCTGTATTTACATAAAAAATAAAATTCAGAATTCTAGAATTCAGGTGTAGCAGAAAAATGCCTAAAAATGAAAGACAAGTGAACTGCATGACCAGTAAGGTCAGTGTTTACTGCAGACCACTTACTGTTCGTTAGCATCCTGCTTAACAGTTGGGATGCAGAGGGAGTGAGACAGCTTGTCACCCTGGATATCCAGCAGCTGAAGGACATTCCCTAAGGCAGGAGCCCTGCCTGGCAGGGGGCAGTGTGAGGTCCAGCTCAGTGGGGGCCTCAGGGAAGGCGCTTGGAGGTCTACTCGTCAGGCCTGCGCTAGGGAGCCAGGGTGCAGCAGCAGCTTTGTGCTCCTGGTCCAAGGCCAGGGTCCTGCCAGAGAGATCTGCACACGCTCACACACAGGAAGCCAAGGCAGCTAGGCCTCTGTGCTCTGGGAAGAGATCTTCAGAGATGTGTGTGGGCTAAGAGGTTCTTAGGTGGCTTAAAAATTAAAGTGCAGTGGTGTGAAGGGATGATTCAGAATAATGAGGCAGAAACGATACTGATGGGAGAAAGCCACCTTGAGCTTCACCCTGGGACTTGCCCTAGAGAACAAGGAAGGCTAAAAGCAGGGCACCCGCACCTCGAAAGTCCCAGGATAAACAAGGCCACAGTAAATGGGTGCTGCACAAATAAAAACAGCGACAACAAAAGGCAGCCAGGAGAGCAGTGACAGAGCTGCAGTGGCTCTCGTGGCCTCATCTGTGACCCTGGACACACTGCCTCTGTCTTAGGGTGCCCCAGAGCAAGAGCAGGGCCCCAGGACAGTGAGACGCTGCGCCCTTCTGGGAATACTCGCACTGAGTTCCCAACAAACTGGCCCTTCGGACAGAGGCTCACTGGGATTTTTGTTAAGTTTAGGTCTTACATGTTTCCCAACTAGCTGTGTCACAAAGGGAAGGAACCTGAGAAAGATCTGTCACATGCTGTCTCCTCACTTGTCAGGCTGGTGGCCCTGTGTGAACTGTGGAGGTCTGCAGGTTTATTAAGCCTATGTGGCCACCGCAGAATACATCGGTCTTCAGGTACGAGTGGTCAGCACAAAGTGCACGTGCAGGGGTCCCAAGCCAGGGGTGCCAGCCAGGGAGCCAGACACACAGCAGCGGCCTTGCTGATGCCCCTGCAAGTTGTGCAAGCTGCACACGCCCCAGCACACCTTGTCCTGGGGAAGACGGCCTTGTGGCCAGATGGGCAGTCCTGGCTATACTAGGGAGAAGGCATGTGTGTGGCCCGCTTGGGAAGCACTGGCCCTGGGGTAGGAGACAGCAGCAACTGCCGTCTATTTCCAGCGTCTTCGAGGCCCTGCACTTCCCCTCACATGTAGAAGCTGGCTGAGGGGATCTCGGGCTGCGGCCAGGAGGCCTGAGGCTGCCTCGTGGCACTTGCTGCAGAGTCCACGTGAAGCCCTCCTGGGGAAGAGAACTAACAGCTGCGTCACCTGGCTGAAGCTTCCTGAGCAGTGGGCCACTGGCTGACTCACAGCTGCCCCTGCACACCACACCCAAGTCAGGGCCCGTGCACAGGCAGCTGGCCACGGCTTCCACCATGGCTACGGGACAGGAGCTGCGGCAGGCAACGCTGCCTCCACTGTGCGGCCCTGCCGCAGCCCAGGCTCACTCACCACTCGCAGAGCTTCTGTGTCTCGGGCCGCACCGCTGTGCACAGCCTCCACCGCCGCACGGTGCTTCCCGGCCAGTTCCTCCAGGGCCCGAGAGTGGGCTTCCGTGAGCCGGGTCACCTCCCCTTCCAATCTGTTCTGCAGGGCTTGAAGCTCCACTTCATAATGTTCTTGCTGAGCTCTCTTTGCTTCGTTTACTTTCTTGAATTAAAACAACAATCAATTATTTCCTCACGAGCATGCCTAGGATCTGAACATCATGAAAACGTGCAAGCAAGCGTGACCTAGACTTAGAAGCGTAAAAACGCACCACTGATCTTCTCCAAAGCAGAGGCAGAGGGCCTGCCCCTTAGCTCAGTTCTTTTTGGCAGAACCAGGAATTGAACTCAGGTCCTTGTGCTTGCCAGGGAAGTGCTTATTCCACTGAGCCATCTCCCTGCCCCTTAGCTCAGTTCTTTAAGTGCCTGCTTCAACAAAGCAGAGGCAGATCCAAAATACAATGTTTTAGATCTAGAAGCGGACCACTGTTAGGTGAAAACCAAATGTAAGCAAGCGTATCTGCAGATTACAGAGGCGGGATCGCCTGCGCAAGGGAGCAGGGCGCCACATGGCCTCCAGTCCTCACCCAAGAGGTACCATGCGATGCGACTCTGGGTGCCCGCTATGTGCCTTTCAAGCGTCTGTGGCAGTGTAGCCTTAGAAGTTCCAAAAAAGAGGTCCCTGTGTCTGAGAGCACAGGAAGGGACTAACCAGGTGGGCGGGAAAGGTGTCTGTAGGTGGGTGCCAGGGGAGCCTGGGAAAACACCCCAGCTGCTGACCTGCTGACCGCCATTCTCCCATTTGGTTTTCATGATAAGCCCACAAGACAGCCAAAGGCGAGGACATGCCAAACGAGGCCTGCCACCAAGAGCTGGACTCTGGCCTAGCTTCATGAAAGGTGGAAGAAGCTAAGTAGCTCAGTGGCCAAGTTCAGGGACGTGGGGGGTTCACAGGGCCACAGGGCACAGGGTGGGTGCGGGGGTGCCCCTGTGAGACACTAAGGACTGCAGTCCTCAGTTACTGCAACTGGAGTTACATATTTTTTAAAACAGTGTGTGAGGCCAGTGGGCTGGCCACAGGCTGCGAGCACAGCTAGGATGCGAAAGCCGTAGCCCCAGCGAGCAGCGGCAGGCCTGTGCGTGCTACAGAGAGGGGCATGGAACGAGAGTGCGCACAGACTATGGGCTCAGGAACAGGGAAGGGAGCTAGGGAAACAGAACCAAGAGGGATTCCTGGTACGGGCTGAAATGACAAGTGAGAGAAGGAGGCGCTGAGCATGCCGACTGGCCAGTGTCACGTCCAGTGGAACGCCGGCTCTGACGCGGACACTGATCCAGGAAGAACCACTACAGCATGGGACCGGAGGGGACAGCAACGGGGAGCAGATGAAGCCCTGCATGCTCAGTGCCAATGGAACTGCTGAGGAGGGAAATGTTCAAACAAGGCGCTGGGGCCAGGAAGGTGCGAGGAGAACAGCAGGGAATGCGGGCCTGGAGCAGTGGGACCCCGCAACCCAGGCGTGGGTGTCCAGGGAGGGGAGAGCCGCCAGCCAGCACTCTGGAGCACGCTGAGGTTCCTTCTGCTTCCATGTTATGGTCTTTCCCCACATGTGAGCACGCCCACCACGACATCATCTAGACTGGCGCCCTCCAGGGCTGGGGCCGAGGTGTCACTATGGAGGTGTCACTGAGGAGCGTGGAGCGAGCGCACTCGCCAAGCGCTCCCGTCTGCGACAGCGAGGCAAGTGGCACTCCCTCCCCTTCCCGGGCGGCCATACTGCTGCCCACCTTCTCCAGCTGCAGAGTCTGCAGCTTCTGCTCTTCATCCAGACTCTGCGTTCTGCTCTGCAAGAAAGCTCTCTCCTCTTCAAGCTGAGACAGTCTCTCATGGGCCCTTGATTTTTCTGATTCTAAGTCTTTAATTGTAACTTCCTGGGTCATTTGAGTTGCTTGAAGGATTCCGATAAGACCTAGCGAGCAAAGAAAACCCTTTCATTGCTGAATCGGCAGCACCAGGACATCAAACAGTTCAACAACATACGGTACGTCACACCTCAGTCACACCCAAGTGGCCTCTATGCACACATTTTTATTTCATTTCACTGTATAAGATGTAAATATTCCACGGGACTACTACTTTTCCAATTACTAAGTCCATATATACATTGCTAACATTGCTAGAACATTCTGCTTTTTTTATTTTCAAGCATTTTAAGAGACAAATTGAAGTAGCAGCAACTCCTTGGTGGTATACAAAGTCCTCTGTGAGGAACACAAGAGACCGACTAAGGGAAGGCGCTGGCTGATGCGTCACAGCAAAAAGGAGTAATTTTCTCAGTTTTAATCTTAGCAGAGAGAAAAATTTCTGTATGCAGCAAACGAAGGTGGTATCCAGCAGTTCAGATGAAACCAAATTTGATGCAGAATGGGAACAGGTAAGGACAGCAAGGCTTTGAGAGAGGAAAGAAACGGCGCAGGAACGGGTGGGGAAGGTGGAGGGAAACGAGAGTGGGGTTGAGGGGTGGGCGGGCAGAGAGCCTCTCAGGACCAGGGCTCCAGCAGGCTCCAGCGCCCTGAGACTCAGGTCAGAACTCTGGGGCGGGGCCACCCCTCCAGGCCGTGCCCTGAGAGCTGAAGGTCCAGCTCTGCGGAAGGAGCGCAGCCCTCCCCAGCAAGCCCACCAGACTGAGAACAATCCCCACGTGAGCAGGTGCACCAGGCCCTCAGAGGGGATCCGAGTCCAGAGCGGCCCCTCAGGGGCAGCCCCTTCCCTGGGAGGACCGTGCAAGGGCACCGGCCACCTCAGAACTAAGGCTCGGAACAGGCTTTAGCCCCCTGCAGGGCTCCCCTGCCCAGCCAGCGGAAATACCCTCAGAGGCTGCCTTCTGAAGGGCAACACCCCTGAACCCTTTCATTATTCTTTTACTGATTCATTGATGTTTTATCTAATTCTTAACTTTTTATGAAAATATATTCCTAGAAAAAAACAAGTCATCATTTGCTTCTTCTGGTTAATTAGTAAGATATTCTAGTTCTTCAACATATTTATATTCAAGTGATTTATGGGGAAATGGGAGTTGAACCTGATATGCAGCTGAGGCTGGCCTGGAACTCCTGATCCTCCTGCCCCGGCCGTCTAAGTGGTGGGATTACAGGTTTGCACCACCATGCGTGGCTACTGTCCAAAAATTTTTTAAATAACAGAAAAAAATTAAAATTAGCCATGGCATGGGATGCGAAAGCAGGAGGACTGCTATGATCTTGAGGCCAGCCTCAACTGCATAGTTAAGCCCTATCTGAAAAAGAGAAAGAAAGAAAAAAGGAGAGAAATTTTAGATCAGAAGAAATTTTTAAGCATTTAAATTTGTCTTGGGTGGACAAGAAACTGTTGGTCTCAGCTGGACATTATACCATACAATACAGACAGACAGACAGACAGACAGACAGACAGACAGACAGCTTCAAGAACTGGGGCTGAGGCTTGCTGTTGCGAGTGTGCTCACTTTCCACTTGCTTGTGCTTGCTTAGTAAGGCCGCTTCTCCCTCTTTGGCATCATCAAGCTGTTTCTGAAGTACCTGGGAAAGATTAAGCAGCCACTATCACAATGCAAGAATGACAGCAAGCTACGTGATGCAAGTTACAAGCACCAGCGGCGTCTTACGAGACGCCCTACTTAATTGTAACTAACCTGGTATTGGCCAAGTACTGCGACACTGGACAGTGTCCTCACAGGCCGCCAGAGCTCATCAGGAAACTTTTCTTCCTTTCCTACTCTAACACCACACAGATATTTAAAACAAAACTTGCAAAGGCTTTTAGTTTTTCTCAGACTTGTGCCATGCCTTTATTAAATTCTGTATAAAAAGCAATCACTTTTGCTCAATGTCTAAACATGTCTAATGGGCAGCCCACTATGAATTGAAGGAAAAATCATGATTAAGCCCTAAGCAAAATATTTTAAATCCCTCAAACCACTTACAGAAAATATCAGTGTGTTATTCAAATAAAATCCTTTCTTCTGGAATGACTTTTAGGCCCTTGATATCTGAAATTCTGCTAATAGGTACAGGGTAATAAAAATTACCCTTCACTGATTTTTTTTCTTTCTTTCTTTCTTTTTTTTTTTTTTTTGTATTTTAGGGAAGGGTCTACAGGGCATTCAGGGTCTCATTACTAGATCAGAGTGATATGCCTGTTCACAGCCTCCCAAGAGCTGGGATTACAGGGGCACACCATCATGCCCAGTCTCAGTCGCCATCTCAGCAGGCCCGGGGGGAGGCAGCATGGCAGGCCCAGGGATTGAACTCCGGCCCCTGTGCCTGCCTGTAGACACTTTGTATTCTGCTGAGCTATTTGGCTGGCCCTGCTTTTTCTTGCACAGAAGAAGGCAAATGGGTGGTGGGGATGGTAAGAGGCCAGAACCCTAAAAAGCGACCCTAAGCCAGCCGGGATCCCCAAGGCGGAGCAGAGGAAACCCCTGCCCCTCCTCCCGACCCACCTGAGCGTTGTTCTCTGCTGTGGCAAGTGCTGTCTGAAGCCTCTGGCATTTGTCAAGAAGGCTGCTGGCTTCGTCCTGCACCCTCTGCAACTCTGTCTTTAATTTTCCTATGGTTTTCCGTAAAATTGCTTCCTGTCCCTGAAATTCTTTTCGAAGATCAGCTTCCTTTTCTTTGCTGGCCTGCAGGCTTTCTGCTGTGAAAAGCTGTGACCTTTTCAAAGTGTCCAGCTCACGCTCATAAAAGCACTGTGCTTTATTCAGCTTGCCTTCGTACTCCTCCACCAGCTTTCTCTTCTCAAGCCTGAGCTCCTCCAGGCTTCGGTTTAAGGCCTCCACCTCCCTCCTGTGCAGCTCCTCCGCCTTCTCCTGCCCTTTGCTCATGGAGGCACTGTGATCCTGCTGCGATTTCAGCAGCTCCTGCATCTCCCGGCGGTGAGCGGCGCGCAGATCGTCCAGGGCCAGCCGTTTGTCCGTCTCGAACTGCACCTGGAGTTGCGCAAAGGCCCGTAACCTTTCTTCAAATTTCCTTCTGATCTCCTCAACCTCTCTGGACATGGTCACTATGCGCTGGACGTGCTGGGCTTCTGCACAGAGCTGCGTGTCCTCGACCCTGTGCTTGTAGGCTTCAAACTCCGTCAAAGCCTGCTGCTTCATTTTCACGTGGTCTTCCAAGGAGGCTTCTAGAACTTGGATCTTTCTCTTGAGGTCAAGCTCCTCTGTGACTCTGCTTTTATACTGCAGTATTTTCTCTCTTGTTTCGGACAGTATTTGTTGGATTTCTTCCTCATGTGCATCTTTGAGGGCTTGAATTGCAGATTCATGCTCGTCATTTTTAGTGTTCAAAGCATATATTACCTGCATGGTTTTGAAGAAGAGAGAAGAACTGAATACACCATATGCATTTGCAACTTGAGGATAATTCTTTCATTTGGATTTTTTCTTTCTCTCAGGACCTTGCACTTGCCAGGCAGGTATATGTGCCCCTGAGCTACACCCCCTGTCCCTGGCCTGACACTTTTTCTGCATGCATAATACTGGCTAGGACACATTTCAAATATGAAGCTTCACACAACTGTTTTTATACTGTAATTTGTTCAGCACATTTCTATTTTAGCACAAACTTTTAAATTATGTCATTAAAACATTCAAAAATAAGAAAGTTGTATGACAAGAGAGAGAAGGAAAGGGGACAGACAAGCCTACCTGGCCAAAAAGAACTGCATGGGCCCACCAGCCTCCCGACTGAGGAATCAGCAAAGTGCTCGTGGTCAGCTGTGGGCCTGCGAGGTATCCTGGAAAGAGGCTTTGCCAAGCGGATGCTCTGGCCTTCCATCTCCCCCACAGCCTCCTTTACCAGTATAATGTACTATTTAAATATTTTACATTTTAGGCATAATAAGGAACAGGTATTTTTCATCACATATTGATATGTTGAACTTAAAGTCCCTACATAATATGAT